GTATTTTGTTACAAATTACATTTGTTTTTTATCGGCCTTATCAAATACAAATTACAAAATACTCAAATGTAATTGAAATACGTATTTTAAATACCATTAATAGAAATACTGCCCATCCCTGCTTGTACTTAACTTGAGTATTTCCATTTTATGGTATTATTTAATTCTTACATTACATTGGAAGCAAATATTGCACTTCTTACTCAGTTTATTTTGACAGTTTAGTTACTTTGCACATTCAGACTGGTAATGCAAAATATGAAATCAACCACTAAATTATGATGTATGATTATAGATCAGGCTATAAGCTGATGTGCATATAAATGCATCAATAATATAAAATAATATTTATTATTCAGAAATGTGCCATTCTGCATAATGAGTACTTTTACTTTTAGTAACATATATCTTGATACTTTTTATACTTTTACTTGAGTGATGCTATGAATGCAGGACTTTAACATTTAGAATACATGTGATTAAAAAATACCTTCTTCTGAGGACGTCCACTGTACCCTTTTGAGCGCACTGTGTGTTGGCAAGCTGATTCTGAGGTCTTCCCTCACTGCAGGTCTCATTGTCTGCACGCCCATACAGTGCTGCCTGCACAACGATCACTCCAGATTCTGTTACACACCAAGGAGGAAATTAATAAACAATAAAGTTCAGAGGGAGAGTTCTCATCTAAAGAAATCACTATGGGAATCATTAACAATTTTTGTCATTTTGACCGAGCCTAACATTTCCACAGGCATATCTGATGTAAAAAAAAAAGAAAGAAAGAAAGAAAGAAAATAAAAAATCACTCTTCTCATCGTAAAAAAACAACACCATTGTCAATGAAAATCTGTCTGACCAAGCTGCAACCTCTGAGGCTGAGAAATGAAACCAATGCGGGAGTGCAAAAAACTGCAGTTCATTAGATGGCCACTTGAGGCTGGCTCCGAATCACAGTCAATCCCCATAGACAAGCAAGTTGAAATGCCCTATTTTACAGCAGAAACAAACACCGTTATAGTCTGGTACAAAAAACGGTTTTGGTCTCTATGGTCTCTTTGGTGCATTTGAGGCCCAAAGTTATGCGTATCTAAGGGCGAGGCTGCTCTGCTGGAAGGCTGCTGCTGCTTATTCACATTATGTCATTTCGTAAAATAGCTGCAGGTAACGCTGGCTAACTTGCTCAATGTTACAACTTAGCATACACTTAAGCTCATTCCACACATTTGCTTGGTGGCTGGCATGAGCCACTTGTCGTAGTAGCACATTGTAGTAAGCTGCTGGATTGATATTGCAATATCATATCAATAAATTATGTCTCTACTGGATTACTATGCTGTAAAATGGCAAGAATTAATGAAAACGTGTTGTGTGGCAGGAAAAACACTATTATTTAGTTAATTCAGTCACACTGTAAGATTTACAGTGACATATCATCTGGTTTCTCATAGCAACTAGAACTTTACCTTGATTAAAATTACAGATTTCTCTGGGTTTGAACATTGTTAGAATCTTTTGGGATAATGTGAATGCACAACTCAACAAAATATATAAAATAGTAGATTTGAATGTGTAAATGTTACATATTATATTTTCAAATGAGATTAGTCATACCACAGCTCAGGCGCTGGACATTCCCGGAGCTTCCACAGGTGACAACTTTCTCCGTGGAAACAACTACAATAACAGATACCAAAGCATAAGCTGAAGTGGGTTGAAGCCACACACTGTATGTAGAAAATAAATGCAGGCATCATCATGATCACATTCACTCAGACATTTACCTGCTGTCATGAGCAAACATGTTGCTGCCAGCACTGAAAAGAAACATCACTGTCAAACTGTGTCAGCCAAACACGAGTAAAAGTTACAAAGTCTTGCTAAAAAAAACAACTTTGCTGTGTTCTAGTAGGATGGAGCTTTATCACAGCAGACATTTTGAAACTGTCTTGCCCTGAGTTAAAATGCCACATTAGTAAATTGTAATTGTAAACTCAGATAATCAAACTTAATTCCTAGTTTTACATGAACCCACATAATTATTCTTTCAGTTGTCAGCTGTGTACTCACACAGTGTGGTGCTGAGTCTGTAGCAGAGCATGATGTTAGAAGATCCTGTCTGAGCTGAACAGAGGGACTGACGGATGCAGAAACAGAAACACCTGAATCTCTTCTGCCCAGTGAGGAACTGTCTTTGCCTTATATACAAAACAATGGCTTGATCTTGCCCAACTGGCTCCTAACACCACTGTGGAAAAATGTGAACATACAATCAAAGCCAGAATGACAGACGACAGAGGACAATGACAATGTCTCGCTGTATGTGATGATGAGCAAAAGAATTTCTCAGTATGCTGACTCGTGTTACAGAATTATTACAAGTAAGGCGTGCAGAGCTCTCCAGAAAAACAACACGGTAATTGGAGTGACGAAAGTTGGAGGGTGTTCACAAAGTGCATTTGTCGGGATGTGATGTACTGCCTGTGCTCTGAGGTGGTTTTTCCAGCCTGACAACAAATGAGCTCATTTTTGTCTCTGACCCTTAAATTTCTTGCATCTTCTTCCTTGAAGGAGAGCCCCTTGTCTCACCAGTCTCATTTCTGTAGATCATGTGCTTTTGTGACCATTAGTTTTTCTTAATGTATATGACTCTACCCTCCTCAGGGTGCAGATTTCATTTCAACATTGGCTGGGAGATGATGACGAAACTGGGGATTTGGGGTCCTTCCACATGATATTTTTATGCAACACTTTTTGCCTTTTCTGCAGCTATTCATGGTTGAAATGTCTTTAATTTCATCAAAATAATTTCCTGTGCTACTTTCATGTTTTCATTGGGGGGGACAAAGCCACATGTTCTAAACACTAAGGGAGACATGACCCCTGTGTCCCCCCCGAAACCTACACCTATGCTCCTCACAGCACTGTGTGACATGCAGTCTTTCTCGGTTTGCAGTGTCTTCATCTTTAACACTTATGTTTTTAAATTTACAATAACGTGACGTTGTTTCCTGCTAACTGATGAACAATTGAGCTGTTGCAATGTTTTTTTCCCCCTGTGAACTTACTGGAACACTCTGTAGCACCTATTGTTATTTTGTTTTTTCTCTGAACTTCCTGGAAGACCCAGAAAACACCAGACACTGAGAGTCACTGCAGTGGACATTTTCTTGTGCAAATATCTTTAGGTTATTGTGAAGTAAGACAAGACGCACGCTGCTGGTTTAATGCATTTTATTTAATGCATATTTATTGTGATCTTATTGTGACCTCAGTATGTTTACAGGGTGTCATCCGGAGGGCTGGAAGGATCTGCAAAAACCAGATGAAAGATTCACCTCAGATAAATACTGTATTTAAGTGACTGGTTGCACAAAATGTGTTACGGCATTATAATTTTAAAAAATGCATTTTACACTTTATTAACACAGGACAGTGTTTCTGAAAACAAAAAACACTCAAACTGCACAAAACTGGAATACTTATGGATAAATAGAGTCTATAACACAGTGCTAACTGGCCTTCCAGCTACTTACATGCACAAACGTAAGCCACTTCCAGGTACTTGAAAGTGCCGACACAGGGGTCTCCAAACACTGAGTTGCTTGCTTTGATACTGCAACTGTTTTTCCCATCACAGCTGTGGAGACAGAGTGAATACATGCATGATGCCTTTAACAGCCTTTAACCTGAAGTATGAGTTGACAAAAAGTGAGTAACTGTACTTGTCAGAAACGATGCTGGTCGGCTGTGAGCAGTCGCTATTTTGGATCTGAGTGGCAGGCCGTTTGTAAGTGCATGTGGTCTGGTCGTGGCGTCCATAATCAGCGCCGTAGACAGATATAACCTGCCCAGCATCTGGCAAGAGGAGGAGGGAGAGTTGAAAGCAAAGAAGAAAGAAAATGTAGCTTTGAGAGGCATGTGACCAAAGAAAAAAGTGAGATATTCAGATGAGTACTGAAGTGACATAAAAATAAAACAAAGCTAGTGGTTACGTGATCTTACCACAGTGCAGGTTTGCGAAAGAGTGCTCACATGTCACAAGGTGAACTGTCAAAATAACGTGACACACATCGATGCATTATTTACAACCAGTCGATGCATTTTGCGTCAGAATGCACACTTCTTCAAATCAGATCACACAAATAAAAACAGTTTAGTTTAAGTGTATCCTGCTGACCGTTTGAATCAACCAAGGCACTAAAAGCAGGGCCAAAAGCTTAAAACGTGGAAATATGTGAAGGGAAAATCACTGGAATCTGAATTTTCTACAATACATTATTTGACAGTATTAAGACACAGAACGTCCCATACCTTTAGACTGATCAGCCACATTAAAAACCACTGACCAGTGAAATTAATAACATTGATCATCTTGTCGGAATGCAATGTTCTGCTGGCAAACATTGGACCTTGCATTCAAGCCATTTGAGACGCTCCACCCACCCAAAGACGGCACTCCCTGATGGCAGTGACCCCCACCACAGGTCAATGCACCACGCCACACTACAAAAACTGCTCAGGAATGACCCGAGGATCACGACAAAGAGCTCAAGGTGTCGACCCGGCCTCCAAATTCCACTGATCCCAATCTCATCAGGCATCCAGCATCCTCAGGCCATTCCTTAGCCCAAGGTTGCTGGATGCTTTTTGCAGTGTGGCATGGCGCATTGTCCTGCTGGGGGTGAAACTGCCAGCGACAAGTGCTGTTGCCATGAGGGGATGTAATTGGTCTACAACAATATTTCGGTGGGTGGTGTCAGTCAAGTGTCATCCACATAAACGCCAGGACCCGAAGTTTCCCAGCAGAACATGACATTGTAACAAGGTGATGACAATGTTATTCACTTTACCTGTCAGCACTTTTAATGATGTGGCTGATAGGTGTATTTCTTGCCTGCTTGAAAACCTTGACATGCTGGCAAGAAGAAGCCATATATTTGTAAATAAAGCAAGTGAAAACCAGGGGAAAAAATATTTTTTGGCAGCTTTAGTTTCATGCAGACATGTGACTGACTTGCTGGGAGGCAGATGTACTTGGTCTGTAGATATTTGGAGGTGCCTTCGCAGGGATCGGGTGATCCAAAGACATTCACGCTCACTTCACACACCCTTTTTCCATCACACCTGCAGGAAGAACATATAGGGCATGTTTCAAGCAGAATCACAGCCACACACAGTGTTGTCACAATGCAAGAGACTGATTCCTTCCTCATTCCGCAATGATACAAAGGCTGAAGAATACACATGATACTTGAGAACAGGGAGTTTTGGTGTTATGCATCCAGCGAGTGTGTTTTACGACCTGTGTACTTCTCAAGCATTGAATATGGAAGCAGTCGATGGCACCACAGCTGCTTGTAAAATGAATTGTGAAACAGATGTTTTTACTTATGTTGGGTCTGGTTGATTTATTTTTAAAAAAAAATTTAATTGAAGTCTCCTTTTAGCTACATTTAGAATGCATATAAATAAAATGCGGTATATCTTTATGATTGTACCTTCTCTTGAGGACGTCCACTGTGCCCTCTTGCGCGCAATCTGTATTGGTAAGCTGTGCCTGAGGTTTTCCCTCACTGCAGGTCTCACTGTCTGTGCGTCCATACAGTGCTTCCTGCACACTGATCACTCCACTATCTGTTCCACAGCAAAGAATTGGAAGAATTAGTAGTCATCACTTAATCTTGAAATGTACTTAAACTATACCATAGTAACTGATCAGCTGCTTCTGCTCACCCTAACCTATACATCAAAATGGTTTCATCATAATCCAGAATAAATTCAACATGTTAAAGCTTTTTTTTAAATACCGTAACGCTGGTTGAATCAAAGATGATAAAGTAAAAACAAAAAACACCTTAATGATCAAACAAGCGCTACCAGAATTTATGTAAGCACTGTTGAGGACAGAATATTTTAGGAAATAGAGGCATACCACAGCTCAGGCGCTGGACAGTCTCGACCTGACAGGTAAGAACTGTCTCTGTGGAAACAGCTAAAAACAGAGATGGAAGTATTAGTTTAACACAACGGCACATATGTAGAAATGTATTCAAGAATCCTCACACACAGATATTTACCTGGACTTACGAGCACACAGGCTGCTGCCAGCACTGAAAAGCAAACAGCACACAAGAGATACAAAGGGACGCTTTGGCTTCATTGGCAAGAGAACTTAATTTTACCAAATCGTAATCTAAGACTTCCTATATTTATAGAAAGATATCTTTTTATCATTATGCTAATCAGTATACTCACAGAACGTGGTGCCGAGGCGAAGCATGGTTTAACCGGACTCAGTGGTTGGTGAGCAGTGAGAGTGATGGTGGGTGGGACACACTCTGTATTTATTCATTTGGATCTGAGGCAGTCTACGATTTTGCAAAACAAACCTGAACCTGACTCCAGTGGCTCCTTTTCAACTGGACGCAATATCCAAAATGAGAATAACAGAAGCCCCATGAGGGCCGCCAGACATCCAGTCTCAGAGCACAGACTGAAGAGGCCTGAGCACTCATACATTATTGTAAGCCTAATGAGTCCCATATGCGGGTTACACTGTGTGTTACATGAAACTGTGTCAAGTTTTAAGTTAAGGCTACAAAAACACACATGTCAGGGAAAAGCCTGAGTGTGGGTTTGGTTTAATACAGGACCTATTCATGATGACAATGTGATCATCCATTCAATGCAAACAATCTATACCATAAATAAATATGATTGTATAAGTGTGCACTACAGAGTTGAGTCATTTTGTTTGTTCTTACTTTAAAAAAAAAATTAATTGAAAAAGTAATTAATTTAAAAAAATCTGTTTTTTGTTGTGTGCAATGCTATTTTTGTGTTATGATTTTGTCAAAATATTGTACGCTCTCATTAATCTTACTTATATTCTCCTATGACTGTTTTTATTTGATCATCCCTGTGTTTTATTTTGTTTGTTTTTTTATTTCTTTGTGAAGCACTTTGGTCAAAATTTGTTGTTTTTCAATGTGCTCTATAAATAAATCTGACTTGATTTAACTGAGTTTGGTATAATCATGGCTAAAATAACATAAGCGCTGTAAATTGGATGTCTGTATCCGTCCATTCACACAGGAAAAGCACAGATATAAATTACAGCATTTAATGATGGCTGGGGTCCATTCAGCTGTGTCAATTTCAGGGTCCTAGATTTGTCATGTCATGGCTTATTCAACACTTTAATAAAACAGAGCCATTATTAATACCTGACATTTTAGTAACCACTGTATGTAAAACATGGCTGGCCATGCTGGTGTATTACAATTGTTGAAATGTGAGGAAACAAAACAATGGATGATTTGTTCCAGCTGTTGGAAAGATGAGAAGGGGTTTAACTTGGTAATGTTATTGTTTTAATTGAGGAAAAACAAGAGGATGTTTCTAAAAGTTTAACTGGAAATCACAGTGTTGATGTAAAATTTTAGAAGTCTGACTTGGGGCCAAGAGAAGAACTTAGCTTTGTTTTGATTTACAATAACTACAGAACACAATCAGATGCAGGCAATAATCTCCTTTTAGAAAATGATTCAAAATAGCCAAAATGTATAAAGCTTGACACTGATACAGAGGTGATAATAGACGCAACCAAACTGACAATGTACTCTAAAGGGAGGATATAATGGGAGAATAAGACAGGCCCCAGGTTTGACCCTAGAGGAACTCCATAGAGAGTCAGAAAAGCTCGAGCAGATAGCAATGAATAAACTGGTTATTAGGTTAATAGGACCGTTCAATATCCAAAGCCATTTCCTTATAATTCCCAATAAAATATTACAATCTATTGTACTGTGTTGTATTGAAAGAGGTGCTTAAATCTCGAAGACTGCAGAAGTGGGGGATTCGACTCATGACTTGACTCAAGTCAGACTCACACTGATAAAAGGCTCAACTTTGATTTGGTATTCATGGCTAGAGACTTGCCTGAGACAGATGACTTGAAAGGACTTGACTTTTTCTAGACATTGAGAAGTTACGTTTCTTTTTTTTAAAATGAGTGGGTGATTTCTAGTGTTAAGGCCTGCAAACCTGGCAGATAAGCAGAGGCCAAGGCACAAGGCAGCTATCATGGAGTGGGCAGGTCCAAAAATAATACAATTTAGATTCAATGATAATGTTGTTGATGAAGGTAGTAAGAACAGAACAGCAGTACGCAAAGTCTATAGCTCAAAAATCACATGACCACCACAACATCTAATTTAATCTGTCACTACACACAAAGAAAAAGGTGTGTGTATGTGTCTTCTTAGCTAACGAAGAAAGCTAATGTGTGAATCGACTAGAAAGCTAACATTTGACCAGATCATTAGAACTTTATATGACTTGACTTGGTACTTGCTTGACTTCTCACTTGAGACTTGCTTGTGTCTTGAACATGTGACTTTCTCACACCTCTGCAAAACTGATACACCTTTTAATAGAGTGAACATCAGGACATTATGATACAGGAAAGGACTTGGTTTCAGAGACAGATCTGTGCTTCAGAGGGACTGAAATATCCATAGCAGACTGGTAAGCTCATCATTCATTCATCTTCTAACCGCTTCATCCTCTTGAGGGTCGCGTGGGGGGGCTGGAGCCTATCCCAGCTGACATTGGGCGAGAGGCAGGGTACACCCTGGACAGGTCGCCAGACTATCACAGGGCTGACACATAGAGACAAACAACCATTCACGCTCACATTCACACCTATGGACAATTTAGAGTTATCAATTAACCTAGTCCCCAATCTGCATGTCTTTGGACTGTGGGAGGAAGCCGGAGTGCCCGGAGAGAACCCACGCACAAGGCTTGAGTACAAGAAATCAACCAATTTTAATGAGCTTGCAGATAGACGGTGCAGAATCATGTGCAGGACTTGTTTTTGGAAAATGTGAGAGGCTGAGTGGGAGTAGGAAAAACAACCTCAGGAGTACAGATTTCACAATGTTCTTGTCATGACTGGAGACAACTGGCACAAATATTATCCAAACAGAGAATAAACATGACCATCAATAATGTTCTACTGCCGCCTACATGTCTGGGGGCGAGGCATGTGAAGAGTTGTTTTGCAATAATGTGTCCAAAAAAAGGATCTAGGTGTAGGTTTTCTAGGTGTAACTTTATTGGGCCAGACATGGGAAATCCTGGTTAGCCAAAAAGAGTATAAAAAATATTGATTTTTTTTGAGTTGGTTAAAAAAGTACTGAAGCTGCAGGATAAAAAAAAAACGTCCCTGTTCCAAACAGAGAATGAAAGACATCATTCAGAACAATAATTTTTATTGCCTTTGGTAATCAGAAGGACTTTTCCTCAGTAGACTCACATTATAGAAACACACCTTTGAGTAAAAGTCACCAAACGGTTTTTCACCAGTTTGTTATTCACTAAACTTGCCATGAGTGATCCTGGATAATCCTGTGTTTTCCAGGCAGCTATCAGCGTTCACAAGTCAGTCACATGTAGCTATCATCAACAGATCAAATGTTCAGTATTAATTATGATATTTAGTTTTATTTATGTAAATGTTTTATAAGAACTCTATACACTGTTGGATTTTTGTTACACGGCTAAAGTGAAATAAATGTTGTTCACTATTGGCTGTAAGATGAAAATTTGTGAACAAGAAGCAGGTGCCATACTACTTCCTGTATTGCAAAAACAGAGGCTGAAATGAGATAAAATGGTAAAAATAAGAATTGCTGACAAAATATGAACAAAGTTTCTGTTACTGTGTTGCATATTTCCCAAATCAGATGTTTTCAGAAACATATTTTAGCTTAGCGTTTACCTGTAATTGACCTTTTGTTAAGCCCCGCCCCTTTGTGATGGTCTGGTATCTAACTGCACTCCCTGAAGAAATATTATCATATATTTGGAAAAATGCAACAGTGACTCCAGAGAGCAGCAGACAGAAGGGTCTACAGTCTGTGTTTGAAGGATATATCCAGGATATCAAACTGACTTGGCAGCAAAAACAGGTTAAAAAGACAGCCAGTTAGAAGCTAAAGCCGAACTATAGGCTACAGATCACAGTGTAAAAGTGAACCACCACATCACTGCTGATCGCCACAGAAGACAATAAATATAAAGGGAAACTTTGCTGATATTGAACCAGCTGTGTGGCATCGCAGTGTGTGCAGATGAATGGTGTGTGGCTTTGCCCCCGTGCCGCTGCCAGCACCCGGACCTCCGCCGCAGGACAGGCAGGGACCTCTGGGGGAAGTCAAACCATGTTCATCTGCGCACAATGTGATGACACACAGCTGGTTGAATATCAGTAAAGTTTCCCTGCTTCCCTTCACTGGTTCCTGTACAGCAGGGTCGGTCTTTTTTCACTGTTATAATCATTAAAAAGCAAAAGCAGCATGTATATACATTCAGTAGGCTATATCTTCAGTAGCTAGCTAGCTAATCCTACACTTTTCAGGGTTTGATTTTGGTTTTGGAACAGGGAAGAATCTTTCAACCTCTCCAGGTACTAATGAGTATCATTAATACACGATGTGCCCCATGCACAACACTTAGCTCCAAATCCACAAAACCAGCCTGAAAATGAAGGAAATCTGCAACAATTGTATTAGAGTCAATGGAGCACAGTTGTGTTGTTGTCAGACACTGGTCTGAGCTGGCCCGATCCAGTGTTATGATTAGCCAGTCAGACCTCCAAATCGTTTCCTGTGTCAAAACGGCCAAGCTCACATTACATCACCAATCAGCGGGAGCGTTTATTTGTCCTGTGCAGCGCAGAGCATTTTGGCAATTGTGGGTTTTCTGCCTCTTGAGCAAATGCCATAGCTCCTTTGACTGTTTTCTCTAATCATGTAGCACCAATTTTCAAAAGTGTCTTTCTTCAGCAGAGACAGTCTAGTTTTATGAAAAGACCATCTCCTCAGCAGTGAAATACTTCTTTAAGCATGTGTGTACCAGTTAAAGTCAGTCAAGTTTGTGGTTTGAAAGATTTGTGACAGTTCAGCTGATGGTTGTTTTAGAGATGAAAAGTAAGGCTGATGATTTTCTATATTTTCGTATTGTTGACAAATGCCATGAAAAGACAAAAAGTAACAGTGAATTTCAAGTATTGACACAGTCTCCAAAGCTAGATATGTTATTTCTATGTGGCACAGAACTTCATTGTTGTTGATTTGGTCTATTGAAAGGATTTGTTACCAATATGGAGAATAAAGAAAATCCTCAGTCTTACACTGAGGTCAAAGGTCACCAACTGAGGTGCTGGAGTGACTTGGCCACATTGTCTATATTAACTCTTTTGTGTATATTGAGGAACATTGTGAAGAACAATGTAAGAAGATGGAAAATGTTTGAAAAGGTGATAAAAATCTGTCTTTATCACCTGTTTGAAACCTTGCTTTAAATTAATGAT